GGGGCTGCCACAGGGAGCCCCTGGCCCGAGCAGACCACAGGTGGCAGGAGCCCCGGAACAGCATCTGTCTGCAGCCTTCGGATCAGGCCTGACCCTCCCGAAGGGACCACGGGGGAAGCCCTGAAGATCACGTGCGAGGCAGAGTGCGCTGTCTCAGTACCAGGAGGAGGCGTCCGAGGGCAAGTCCACCCTGACGGTTGACCACGTAGATCTCACCTACCAAGGGGTCTATAAGTGCATCGTGCCGAGCAGGAGCCTCCAGCTGGCAAGCCTGCACATCACGGTGTCTGCCGGTGAGTCATGCACAGCGCGTTGTGTTCAGGGGCAGCTGGGCCAGCCCCGGAGAGAGGGGGCTCCCTGGGATCGTGTGTGTCTCCTCCGAGCCGGACTCTCACTGGTAGCCACAGGCAGCCGGTCCGCAAGGGGAGCTCCCCTCACGGACCAGCTCCCACCTGGCACCCTGCCCTGCTGCCTCTGATACAGTGGCAGTGGACTCCTTGGGAGTGAGATGCACTGGCTGCCGGCCCCGCCCTAGGGACGATAGATGGTCGACTAAGCGATAAGAATTCATGAGGTTACTCGACTATTCCATTAACCCCAAGGCTGACCCAGTATGGCCGCTCTTATGCTCTCTGGCCGGGGCCGGATCCCTAGGCTCTGTCACGTAATCGGTGCCCAGGGCCGGTTTCACTCTGCCTGCACAGTGCAGGGGCGCAGGCTGGGGAACTTGAGGCCCAGAGGAAGTAGCTGCATTACCCAAGTGCCAGGAAGCGCCCAGCGGTACCGAGACCTGGGCTGTGAGGTTTAGCCAGGCAGGTGTAGAGGCCAAGCCGCACTAAGGGCTCAAGCTCGGCAACTGACAACTTGTCTTCTCTCTGCAGCCACCTTCGGCACCGACTCGGCCATTGTCGTCGGGACAGCAGGCTCCCTCCTGGGACTGATCGTCACGGCCTTTGCCTCACGGCGCCTGTGGAGGCGGCTCCACCCATGTCATACTCAGGAGTGCTGACCAGTCCGTTCTTGGGGGGAGAAGCGTCTCCCATCTCGTCAGTGCTTGGGAGAAACAGAGCGAGAAACCCTCTTTTCCTCTTCGAAATTCCTACCTGCATTATTAGTGACTGCCTGACACCTCTGCTAGGTACCGGAGTCGCCCCTTAGTCACCGGGCGCTGGTCAATACTGATTATGACGACCGACGTGACTCCTTTCACTGGTGAGCTTGCTGGTCGTTATGGAACACCTGGTACAGTATTAGACCCAGCCAGGCCCCTGGGGCTGCACCTGTCCAAGGACGGAAGCAGAGGATCTGGGAAAGCAGAGCTGAGCAGCCCCTCGGCTGATCGCTCTCTTTCCTTTCCTCCACTTCGCTCCTTGACAGCCTGGTTTCCTCTCCAGCCTGGTGCTGGGACGTGGCACCTGAAGCAGGCGGCGGTGTCAGGGTACGGCAGATTCCAAAGCAGACCGATGGACTTTCCCCTCACGGTATATTTAAAACTTTCTTCATTGAAGCTTCCAGCTCGTGAGAGGCTGGTGCGGTGTCCAGAGGGCTGGTCTGAAATTCTGCCTCCTTCCTCCTTATGCTGGCTTCTCAGTCGGACAGTCCCTGGGGTCAGTTGCTCCTGGTTTTGTTTCCAATATGCTGCAAGCTTCCGGGGGGGAGGAGGGAATTCCAGGTGCACCAAGGACGGGCTGGGGATGAGCAAGGGTCAGGGTTAGACCCCTTGGGTTGGGGCCCAATAACCTGCAGAAAAATCAGCCAAGGCCACACACGAGAGGCAAAAAAACCCAACCTGCACTGAGTGAGAGAAACCCTCACAGACGTGGCCTCGACAGTCACCTCACTACCCCCAAGCTCGTCTTGGGAGGCGGGAGGCACTGAGGCTCAGGGCCGGATTCACTCCTCTGGGGGGCTGGGACTAGACCAGACTCTGGGGCCAGGCCAAACATGAGGGGTTCAGTGTGCAGCAATGGGCTGTCAGGGAGCAGCTGGAGGTGCAGGAGCAGGATGAGGGGTCTGGGCAGAAGGCAGGGTGCAGGCGCAGGGTGGGGGTGTGCAGTCTGGGTGGGAGGAGAGGTGCAGGATGGAGGCACCTATCTGGTGCAGTTCCTGGGACAGGGAGCAGATGACTTGTGCCCATGGCTTGCCTTAATTGGGTCTCCTAGGCTCCCCCATGCCCCCACAGCAGGGAGCTGGTGCTCCAGCCATGGCACCTCCCCACCAGCACCAGTGAGCGAGGGGTGACCTGGAACACGGCAAGCTGCAAGCCATAGGCTCCCACCCCGCAGCTTAGACCCTTGGAACGGAGTGGAGGCTTCGCAAATGCACAAGTTACAAACGCTCAGTGGAGCGCTGTGCTGCTCCCTACAGCCATCTCCAGGCGCTGGATCTGCTGCAGCTACAGCCTCTCCCTCCGAGACGGGATTGCAGGCCTCCTGGAGAGGGCTGTGGGGTCGCTGTCTGGTTCCTTCCACGCCAGCCCCATCTCAAAAACGGGATGGAAACGGAAGTCGGTTAATCTGTGTATTTAAAACAAATGTCCTAAGAAACCCCTCCCGCGGCTGCTGGTGAATAATCCGTATTGAAGGCTGAGGCAGCAGGAGACCTGCTGTGCGTACGGCGTTTGTTGTACAGGGAGAATGGCTACGTGAATAAAGGGGCCGTTTTTACATCCCTGGTGTGGTTTTCTTGGCATGTATCACTTCTCTCTGCTCTGGCCCTACCGTCTGCCTGTCACTGGGCTGTCGTATGCTGGAGAGGGGGCAGGAGGCCTCTTAAGAACAGCCCCACTGAATACACTGCTGTGGGCATTTTGACCTCTGCTGGGTACGATGGTGCCCTCAGCGTTTGCAAGAGGCTCTGAATTGCAGCTTGCCAATTCGATGCCCCCTTGATGGCTCAAACAGAAAAGCCGGCTGTCATGGCTGGTACAGAAGCATTGCTCACTCGATCGGAGAAAGACGGGAACCCTAGAAATACCTTCAAGAAACCCCAGGTTCTTCTTGGTGCTGGAGCAACCGGGCAGAGCTGTGCTCTACACTCCCATTCTCTCCTGCTGGTTCCTGGCCAACAGCTCTTCTCTCTACCCTAGTTCCCGCATAATCCTCTTGGCAAGGAAATTCCCCATGTATGGCCCCTGGGGAAACTCTGCCAGTCTGCACCCGGCTTCCTGCTGCGTGGCGTAAGCCCTGCAAGGCGTTACTCCCTGTGCCCCTGACTAGCAAGGGTGGAGGTGAAGCAGCCAGCAGAAAAGCCCATTTAGTCCTACTCGGTCAATAGGGGCTTTAGTAACACATCTGTCCTGCTTGGCAGGGAGGAACAGCCCTGGGGCTCAACAGGCCAGTCCTCCCACATTCTTACTCCTGCAGGCGGCCTAGTATCTGTGCCCAGCCAAGGACAGCTGTGGCTGAAGCAGCTGCCAAGCAAGGTGAGCCTGACCCGTCCCTGCAGGGAGAGCTGTGGTGTTTTATGAAGCCCCACAAGCCACCTTGGGGAAGCCAGGAGAGCACAGAAAACTCAGCTGGGACACTGGACGTGGCAGGCCTGGTCCTGTTTCTCCTTGTGGCTGCCGGCCGGCATGCACCGGTTGGGGCCAGGGCTGCAGAAGGGGAACCGGAACAGAACTGCTTCCCTCCCTAGTAAGGTCAGGAGCTAGCTGACGGCTGGGGCCCTAGGAGAAAGGGACAACTTGGCTGCAGCCCATCTCAGTGCTAGTTCTGAGTTGTGCAGGAAACGTGGCAGCTTGGGCCTGGAATGAAGCCCACAATTCCAGCCTCTGTTCCTTGTGCCAAGAACTCTCTGGACTGAGCTCTCAGAAACCCTGCGGGCACTGGGGCCGGCCCAGCAAGCTCCTTCCACCCTCTGACCTCCCAGCTTGAGCAAATACAACTCAGCAGAGCTCAGAGCAGCAACCACACACCCCCACTCACAGAAAAGGAGAAGACCCTCTGCACATCCAGCAGGCAGGGGCCAATAGTGACCCCTGTTGGAAGCGAGGCGAGGCTACTGCCCCTCACTTTGTGGGCTCAGCGACCACACTGGGGGCAGTTAACAGGGTTTAAAAGAGAACTAGATAAACTTGGCTATTAGCCAGGCTGGGTGTCCCTAGCCTCTGTCTGTCAGAGGGTGGAGGTGGATGGTAGGAGAGAGATGGCTTGATCATTCCTTACCTGTTCGATTCCCTCCCTCTGGGGCACCTGGCATTGGCCACTGTGGGCAGACAGGATACTGAGCTGGATGGACCTTTGGTCTGACCCAGCATGGCCTCTGTTATGTTCTCAGGCAGAGGGCAGGTCACCCGCCCAGCGGCATGTTGCGGAGCAGCCTCTGTGTGATCCACCAGAAACTGGACTAAGATTATTGTACGGTTCTGACTGGCCCTGCTGCCCTGAGCCAAAAGGCCAGTCTTCTGTGGCTGAAGAGGCCAGGCCTTCTGGGAACCCCGCCAGCCTGACAAGTTTTAACCCTGAAATTCATAACTATTCTTTAAAGAGGAAGCACCCACTTTCAGCCATGATTAACGGAGGAATGGCCACCCAGTCATGCTGTGGTGCAGACAATGGAATTTCCTTCCCTGTCCTTTTGGTGAAGCCAAAATCCCCTTTTTCTCTGCACCGACACTGTTTAGTTCAGAGCAGCGTTTGCTTCCAGAAGAATCCCCCACTTTCCTAATTGCTAAAGCGCTAACACCCCAGTCAACAGAAACCAGCTGCATGTTTACAAGTCAGGCTCCCCACCCCCAATTGCTTTAGCTTCTGGGCAAGTAACAAACAAACCTTAAATGCCATTGTTTAAAATAAGGCTGTAAAAGGTTGCAGGGTTATCCAATAAACATTAGGCTTACTAGACTTCTTACTGGGACAGCAGACTGGAGCAGCCCTTGCTGAGTCTGGCCAGCTGTGTGGGGTGCCAGGCAGGGCCCCAACGACGGCCAGGCCCCCAGCTGCTCTGGCTTGCACAATGGGACCCCAGCCATGTGAAGGTGGCAGGCAGGGCCCCAGCTGCTCTGACTTGGCCGATGGGACCCCAGCCATGTGAAGGTGGCAGGCAGGGCCCCAGCTGCTCTGACTTGGCCCTTGTGGACCAGCAGGCCCTTGGCTCTGGCCATGGCTGTGCTCCAACTTGGCCTGGATGAACCAGCTGACCACAGCCATGTCCCGGGGGTGGTCGAGGGGACGGGGGGGGGGGGGGGGGGGGGGGAGGGTCAGCTACTCCCAATCACTCCAGGTGGTGGGTAGGGACCCAGCCCCAGTCTGCCCACTGACAGTTAAATGTTATAATTGTGATCATTTAACCCATTAATGGTTATTTACAGCCCTAGATTAAAACCCCCTTGAGTGGCCCTCACCCCCAGCTCTGTAGAGGTGGAATGAGCTGTGCAGTCCCCATTCTGCAGATCTAACTCAGAGCTTATTTATTAATGACCATGGGAACATCCTGAGAAGACTTTCCAGTGGAACACGGCCTTAGGGTGGAGCCCACCTCTCCTTGGCAGCTGCGTGTATTGGGGGAAGGGAAAGTCTCCAGCACTTCACATGCCTCCAATCTCAGCTCTGCTCTCCAGCCCTTCTGTTGGGGAGCGGAGCTCCACCCCCCACCCCGCTTGCATGGTTTGCCCGGCACCGGCGAACACAGTAAGGCAATTACTGCACAGCCTCCCAGAACTCACCCCAATGGCCTCTGCCACGCTGAGGTAGGTGAGCGATAAGAAACATGACAGTGACAAGCTTGTGATTTAAAGCCGCCGACAGGCAGCGTTATGGCCACAGGAACACTTACCAAACAGACTACGTGGCTGCTTCCTCTTTGGGATTTTTCTCCACTGCCAGGAGTGGGGCACACCAGGCCCTATCGGCCCCCTTCCCTTCACCAAAACCCCCGATGCACCAAACCCATTCCTACAGCATTGGAACCAAGAGGAGGGGACGAAGGGCGGGGGGCTAAACAGAAGCACCAAAAGCAAAGATGCCCAGGGCGATTTGTAGTGTAGAATGGGAAAGATCAGTTGCCTCTGCGGGACAGAATGCAGCATCACTGACAGCGCTCTGCTCGGGTCTGAGATTGGAGCACTGAAGATCTCTGTCCTGGGCTAAACTGGACAGTGTCACCAGCCAGAAGGGAGTAGAAGTGGGATCACAAAGGAACCTTTGGTCAGACTGTAAACCGGAGTCCAGCCAGCTGACAGCACCACTGAAATCCTGGTGAGCAGCCCCTGCCACAGCATCCCATTCCTCGGGAAGCTCTGTAACCGGCACGGCACCTGAGCTGCTCCCAAGCCCAGTCTCCTTATCACATGTAGTCAAGATTCTGCCTCCCTCCCTGAAGGCCTAGCCTCTGTATTGGCTCTCAGCACATTCCCAGCCTTCCCCAGAGTAGGGACAGACTCCAAGACAGGGGCAGTCTAAGCGAGTCAGACAGATCACAGCCGCACGGGAGCAGAGAACTTGCATGCCCCTAGCTATGCACTGTGCGCTGGTGCTTCAGCAGGTTGGACTTGTGGTTGAAGGACCTGGAGCAGTGTTTGCAGCTGAACTGCTTCTGGTTCTGATGAGTTCTCTTGTGCTGCAGGAAGGTGGAGAAGTGGGTAAAGCTCTTGGTGCAGTGCTCACACTTGAAGGGCCTCTCACCCGTGTGGATGCGCTGATGCTCCTTGACAGAGGCTTCCCATTTGAACCTCTTGCTGCACTGGGGGCACTTGAAAGGCTTCTCCTCTGTGTGGATGCGGAGATGCTTGATGAGGCAGGACGTGCGCTTGAAGCTCTTGGCACACACGTCGCATTGGAAGGGTGCTTCGTCCGAATGGACCTTGCTGTGCTTGGCCAGGTCCCCAGCCAGCTTGAAGTGCTTGCCACAGGCATGGCAGCGGTGGGGCCGCTTGTCCGAGTGGACCAGGCGGTGCTTGATGAGGTCAGCACAGCGGATGAAGTCCTTCTGGCAGGTCTCGCAGCGGTAGGGCCGCTCGCCCGTGTGGATGCGCTGGTGCTCCTGGAAGTTGGAGAGGTGCTTGATGTCCTTCTTGCAGATGTTGCAGCGGTAGCACTCCAGGGGGACGGGCACACGGCTGAGGAGCCGGTGAGATCGTTTCCGCTTTCTCCTAACTGGGGAATTTGGAGAACTTTTCACTGCTTCCATGGAGTTGGAGACAACCTGGAAAAGCAGGGGTTTAGAGCACCCCATGTGCACTCACTCTGCACTTTATAAAGCATGAAAGAAAGAAAGCTCCCCACCTCGAGGGCCTTCCGTTCTAGCCGGGGCAGCCCATCCATAGAGGCGAACTAGGCGGTCGCCTAGAACGCCAAGTTAAATGGGGCACCAAATGGTGGCTCAATATCGTTGAGGGGTTTGGAGGTGGGGGCAGGGGTAGCCTAGGGCACCAGTTGCTGGCAGCTAGTCTAGGGCCTCCCCTGATTCTAGCGCAGGCAATGAAGGGGCATCAGTTCAGGCGATTAGAAATGCCAGTGATCAATGCTAGAGGCCTAATGGCAGACGCAGCTTTAAAGGAGGGCACAGGCAGACTGAGCTGGTCTAACCGCAGGAGGCAGCATGAAAGAAGGGAAACAAAGGGACATGGGGAAAGGGGCCACGGAGCAGGAGGAGGGACTGTGAGTATGGACTTTATGATTAGCCACATGGCACAGTCTCTAGTACCCTGGGGGGGGGGGGCCAGCCCTACACCGATGTG